ACATCAACCGTCCATCCGAACCACTTCCAAAATACCCTTGATTTTCCATTTATTTACAAGTCATGTCACTCTAAAAAATCTATAAATACTAAATAAAGCCCCAATTTCTCATGAAAAAGGGGCCCAAGCCAAAGGAAGAGAAGTAAGAGAGAGATAAGATATCGCTCTTGCCCCCACGCTCCTACTCAACATCCACGTGGAGTTCCGTCGAACCACCGCGTGATGTCGGAATTCCACTGGACCACCGCATGACACCTGGAGATCGACGGACCACCGCCTGACGCCGAAGTTTTGCCGGACCACCGCCTGACACCTTGATTTCCACCAGACCAGCGCTTGATGTCTGAAGTTCTGCCAGACCATCACATGACACAGGAGTTTCACCGAACCACCTCCTAATGTTCGGAGTTCCGCCGTATCACCGCTTGACGCCAGAGTTCCGCCGAACCACCACTTGAAGCTGGAGTTCCGCCGAACCACCAATTAATGGCCGAACTTCCGTCGAACCACCAAGTGACGCTGAACGTTTCATCTAATCCTTGTTTGTCATTAGACTAGAACCATACTGGTGGCATTTGTAATCTGATCGCCCTCATAGACGAGTCAGCCCATTGTACTCTTCTCAAATTTTAATTGAATCATTTTTAATTGTGCTAGGCCATGTGGTTTTTCCTCTTACAAGGGTTTTCCATATAAAAAATCTTGTGTTATCTATGTGTGAGTTAAATATTCGTGCAACGCTAAGACGTAAAACTATAACTCTATTGTCGTGTATATTCTAGCCCGCAATAATTATTAATAATAATTAAAATTAATTGTTAAAAATTTAATCAAATTTAGAATTAATAAATTATTTCATAATTAAATTATTTTCTAATTATATTAATTTTATAGTTATAATTTATTTACAACAAATATAATTAGATTTTTTGTTACAAAATTTATGATAGAATATTCTAAAACATAATACATCAAGATGGACTTCAAAATCCTTATATTTACTTAAGGTTTCATTTGAGACATATTTCTTATTGCTTTTTAAAGCAGCTTTTTAAATGTTTTAGAAAACAGTAAGAAAGTTGTTATAAACGAAGCCTAAGATTATTGTCATATATACTATATTGAATTGTACTAATTTCAGGACAAAAAATAGAGCTTAGAAGCCTATGATGATATATTTTGCATCAGGATATTCTGATATTTTTTATTCCCACTAATTTTTTACTGTTTTATTGTGTTCCAACAAAGGTGTTATGTCTTTCCTATAAATTGTATGTTGCAATGTGATAGAATATAATGAATAGAAATTCTCTATTTTCCTTCATACTTCTCTTCTCTTTGATCTCATCATCTTCTACTCATTGTTGCTTTCAGGCTATCAGAGTCAAGTTCTTTCTGAGATAGGAAGATGTATAGAACAGTTCTACCTGGTAACCTAACTCAGTCCATGCTTGCAAGCTCATACATTACAAAAATGAATTCTATTTTATGATTATAATCTACACCTAAAATGAGAAGATTAATTCTTATGGTGAGAGAAAGATGTCATTAATATTTCAACTTAAATTAAACCTAATTAGCGATTTAGGTTTCGTTTGGGACGGTTTTTTTGCTGCTTCTTAAAGCAACTTTCTATAAAAAGTTTTTTAAGAATTAGTAAGAAAGTTGGCACAAACGAAGCCTTAGTGACTATCACAAAAATTACAAAAAAAAAAAATTGTTCACCAAAATAAAAGAAAGTTCCCTCCAACATCGGGCTTGCGATTATTTGCGTTCTAAAATATAAGAAAAACATATTGAGCAAGAAAAAAATCGAAAAGCGAGCATACATAAAGTAGATGCCAAAAGGTATTAGAAATAATAAGAGATCTTCATTTAATAAACGGGTCAAGTTTAAGTTAACCAGCGGACCCATTTTTGACCTGAATTACTCGGTTAATTTTTTTTTTTTTTACATATTTTTTTACTTGTGGGTATGATATTCTTATTTTTCATAAATTATGCTAAACTTTATAGTTAATAGTTTTTTTTTATATAACCAAAATAGCTTAAAGGGTCAGGATCGGGTCATTTAGGTTGCTAGCAGGTAGTATTCTAAAGTGTTTTTGACTCTTTTATTAAATGGGGTAGATTCAGGTCGCGTTAATTTTCGGTCGAATCTAAACCAAAATCTGATCCGTCAACCCATGTTGACACCCATATGTCAATGCATCTTTTCAGGTTTTATAACAGTGGATCTCAAAATAGCTTTAACTCCAAGTTGCATGTTAGGAGAGAGGGAACATAAAGCTAATACTTAAACATATGTTTTTGATACTCTGAAACTTGTTATTTTGTTTACGAATCTATATGTAGGCTAAGACTTTGTTTGGGATGGCTTTCCTGCTACTTTTAAAGCAAAAAAAACTGCTTTAAGAAGCAGTAGGAAAGCCATCCCAAACGAAACCTAAATGCCTTCAATAGAATTTTGGAAAAGTTGCCTATATTTCCTTAATTAAATGCTCCCTTCATTCTGCACACATAATCAATTGTTTCTGATGTCTGCTCTGGAAGTAGATGAGACTCATTGATCATCAACTTTCACACAAACAGCTCTGCCTATTGATATAGTTGCTAATATAAAGAATTCTATCACTTAATGCATATTGAGTAGCTCTTTAAATGGTTCAAAGTTGAGCAACTTTCTTTAAAGGTTTCTTCTTAAACACAACATGGGAATAGAGTTCCATACAAAACACAAAAGTTCACCATTTCCACTATAATACATTACTAGTCTTTCACATCATATCTATGATGCACATATATGGACACTAGTAATACGGACATGATATGATATGTAGACCTGTCAATATTGGATCCGATCCGAAAACCCGACCAGAACCCGACCCGAAAATTTCGGGTTTGGGTTGACCGAAACTCGAAGCGAGTCGGGTCCAGAAAATTGACCCGTTTGCAAAACCGGGTCGGGTTCGGGTTGACCCAAAATCCCGGGAACGACCCGTAATAACACAAACCTGCTATAAAACCCATCCGGATTTCATTTTTTGGGTGCAGTTAGTCTGTACAAATTGACTTTAGTACGGAAGACGAACTGAAGAAAGTTTTGAAAATCTGTATGGTTAGTACATACGAACTGCATGTACGAACTTAGTAAAGTGCATGTTCATCTGTACGAACCTGAATTCGTCGGGACGAACTGAACAAAAAAAAAATTTCCCGAGAGCATCGTCCAGGGACGAAAGTTAGATATTGTCTGTACGATCTGTGTCCAGAGAGCTTCATCCCGGGACGAATGGAGAACATCGTCTGGACGATCGAGTTCTTTAAATAGATGATTAGAGAAATTTTTTGAAGAGAGAGAAAGATAAGAAAAGAGAAAGGAAAAGCTTGGTTTCGGAGGCCGCAAAGCGATTTTCGTCCGTCGACGCAGTTGGAAGGATTGTTTGTCTCGCAGTAAGGAATCAGAATTCAATTTTTGATTTCGAAGATTTCGTGTTTTGGTATTTTTTCTGCTCAGTTTTGTGTTTCTGTTACCGAAAAATGTGTATAACTTTGTATTGACGAAACTTTCACCACGTAACTTTTTGATATGTTTTTGAGATAATGATTTTACATGTTTTGAATATTTTCTGGAAATTTTTCACCGGGTATTTTGAATTCTGTGGAATTTTTATCGAATAGAAAATTATCCGGATGTTGAAAAATATTGCTTCAG